TATATCATTATGACACAGATGTATATAGAATAAGTACTATTTAGGTAGAAGTAGAATCCAGAACACGCGGAATCATCGACATCGTTAAAAATTCGGTTCAAATTCGTTTTCCTTGTGCAAGTGAGTGGCTTTTGGGACTTAGCAGGTTATTAGATAACACGTTGGCGTTTGAAGCAAACAAATTTCATCTGTCATAAATATTCACCTTACATTCTTATTATATGTTCATATTTATTCATATTATTTTGATTTTTTTATATTTTTAGCAAGTTAACGTTGAATTAATACATGATATTGGTGCTGGGATGGCTTTTTTCGGAACCACTATTTATATCATTTTGTGTGCCTTAGTTAGCAAGCGATACCTTGGAACACATTGGTGTATATGGGCTTTTAGACTTCTCTTAGGAATTATGGCAGGAATAACATCAAGTTTTTGTAAGTCACAAAAAACACAGAGAATACTAGTAAAAAATTTTTCGTATAGAAAGTAAAACTATCAATTCTCGACATAAAAGTAGTTTTTAAGTCTCTCTGGTTATATTACCAAAATATATTCATTTGGATACAAGATGCTCTCTTTCCGTGACTACAAACATATTCGTACATGGTTACTTACGATCAATGACCTTTGACTAGACATCTCTTTACAATACTTGTCGCCTTCATTTTTACATCTAGTGGTTACCAATTTTCTTATTCAGTTGTCTTATTAATGTCTGCTCCACTGAATGCGACCCTACTGTTGTACCGGAGAATAAATCACTGCTTAATCGATCGATATATTTGACGCAATGTTGAAAGTCGATGACTGTTAACTATTGTGATGATACGCGTCCTGCAGTGATTTAGAGTCCTATAAAATAATGTTTCTCTCCAGAACGTATTTTGTTAGATAAACACATATTTGTATAAAAAGGTGAAACGAAATATGTATGTGATAATGATACTGTAGGAATAATATGATTATAAGTAATTTGATAGTTGACAACTTTGATCCTAGAATCTCAGACATAGCTTCGAAAGACATCATGGCTGAATAATAATGCTTTGCTCGAAACTATCGAAAGTGGTATAGCGTGAATTCGGATTATAGGTATACAGACGTTCACAAGGTAGTTAAAGTTCGTGAAAGGAAAGCTGAGTGTACTAAAAAGTCATTTAGTTTACTTAATGACAGTACTAGTGAACTTTTGATGGTATTAAGTCGGTTATAATTTTGAATTTCAGAAAATTAAGTTTTCTTATGAAATGATAGATGCCTTGGACGGAAATACCCTGGTAATCTACTGCATCCTACTTTTAATCTCCTTAAAATTCCTCATCAACGACCGTACAAAGATTTTAACCGAGAAGCTTCAAATCTCACGGCAAGTACGGTATTATCGAGCAATGGAGTCGTAATTTAATTGTCTTTATTTTCATTTCAGTCATTAAGTTAAATAGCACGATTTTCCTTCGGCACCCACTAGTAAATTATTTTATTTACTTTGTTGCGCTGATAAATTACTCGACTACTTTGAAATTTTTGGTTTTAGTTTCGATATGTCATACAGTTTCCAGGATAAATTTCAACGGTACACAAGAAGAATCTTTGACTTATCGGCATCCTGGTCAAGGTGTAAGTGTATTTCTTCAGTTTTGTGATGCAGCACAATACTGTATATTCATATGTTTAAATTTCTTGGAGATATTTGCAAAGTATAATGATCACAAGTTAGGGAGAACCATAAGTGTTTGTTTTCTTGATTAATGATAGACTTCCTTCTTCGCAGTGAAACTTATTGATCTGTTTGTGATATCCTTCTACACCTTAACGGTTGTAGATTTTAACATTAAATTCTATATAACAATGATTGTTCAATGCCTCTTCGTGGTGAATGAATCTCTCATTAACTTCAGTTCAGAATGAAAATCATCCTTTAAATGTTTGTCACTACCTGCAAAGGTAATTCGTTTGACAACTGTTCAGTAAATATTTAAGCTTTGTTCATCCATATCACTATTCAGCTATGTGTTTATTATTAATAATACGTGTTAATGGCAGGAATTTGAAATTGTTTGTTCCCGACTTATCGATCATTTTGATTCAGTTCTTATCACACTTTAAACTTAATCCAAGTGAAGCAATATCTATTATATTAGCATACACATCCTATTTCTGGTTGAATTTTCTGCAAGAAATCATGGCACTGTCATGAGATGAATAAAGTCACCTTAAGACCCATTAACTTGTCTATATTAGGTTGTGATGAATAAAATGTAATATTAGTTTATGATTGTATGTTTAATTACCTAGCTCTAATAATGCTTAAATTTCTAAGTTTTACTTAAATATTTATATAGTATCTCGACGTTTGTAAAACATGTCGTTTCTTATCGAAACGTCGCGACTAATTTCTGTTATTTACTTTAATGAACTTAGTTACGGTTTGTTTGTTTAATAATTCATGTATGGTTTACTTCATATGAACAAAATATCTTAGAATCTGGTGGTTGCTTTTTTATCTAAATATTTAATCTGGAGTATGACAAGGTTCAAATAACCAGATAATTATATGGAAATGTAGAACTCAAATATTACATGAGAATAACGTTTGATGCCTAAATGGTTTTACTTTCAGGGATTTTCATTTTATCTATGCAGTACAAGTTTTGAGTGGGCTGCAGGATTTATCATCATAGTGTTTTTTATCACATGGGCTTACGAATTCAGATCATATGCTTTACAATTACCACAGGTAAATGTTGATGTTATTAAAATCCTATTCTTTATCACTGTTCTCTTAACATAGTGCCAAAAAATGCATGTAAAACGAACTCTGACTTACGGTTGTTATTTTCAACACCTAAATCTAACAAATAGTCTTTAGGTTTCTAGAATATAGTCGACCATGCCAATGAGATTAGTTTCATTTTACTGTTGTGTATGTGAGTAATCCACATAAACATTTATTCCCTCAACAATTTTAAAAACCGTAAACTTTTGTTTTATTTTAGTTGTATTGCCGTAAAACGATATCACTAAAAACTAAGTTCGTCAGAACGAATGGTTTCTGAGTTATGAATAAGTTATCTTATTGTTTCCTTAAAATATAAATGAAGATCTTCACTTTTTTTATGATTCATCCACATGTCTTTCAAGACACGTTATATGACTTGCAAATGAATAACAATATAAGCAGATTAACGAACTACTTAACTAAATAAAAATGATTTATGTAATCAAGTTCACGGCCAAACAAAAACTTACATCCTTTTCTCGATCTCAGCTTGCCATGTTTCAGAAAAATTGATATGAAAATTCTTACCAGACATTACAGTTATCTAGTTAAATATATGTAAATGTATTTGAGATGCTACTGTTAAAAACGTTTGATAGATGGACATATTTTGTGATATACTTTTCATCATATAAGCTCAGTTGTTGAGTGTATCAAAATGATATCAAATTATTTAACAAATCTTATCTGTAAATCTGTTGTTTATGTTTGTCTTTTTTCAGATTGTTAGAAAACACCCATCTGAATCTGATATCTACAGCTTCAAAAGTTGAAGACAGATACTGGTCACTTTAGAAGCTTTCTCCCTCAAGTTCAAATAATTGAAATTTTTAACCCATATGTTATCACTATCTAAATTCATAGTTACTTTAATATAATATTACTGACCATTCACGAGTAAAATCACACTTTACGTCATTATGAAGAAAGTAATTGAGTTTAATTAGTGTACCTAGTTTTGCGTTCTCTGAGTAATGATTTCTTAGATTTTTACCAAATAATTTATTCACCGTAACGTTATGAAAACAACCGACAACTTAGATGATGAGATTCACGGTAAGGATCTAGAAATCGATTTTTATTATTCAACACATAGTGTTCACATACTTGAAAAGTTAGATTATTATTTAATTTTAGATGAATATTGCTTCGTCTTTGTACTACACAACGAAAATTCGGCACGGTAACTTTTGCCAATGTACATATACGCTGGGATCTATGTTCTTTATTTTTCTATTTTACCTTTGATAGGTTCATATAATGGTTTACAAATATGGTACGACTGTAACTAAGGCTACATACTTCACCATAATAGCGGATAAAACTTTTACGATATAGGACCACATGGAAATGATTGGTAAGAAAACTGGAATCCCATCAATTTTCGTTACATTCAGGCAAAAATTATTGATTATTTCGATATTCACGGACAATATCAACATCTACCATTCGTGGAAAACTATCTTCACCTTAGATTGCTGGTTACTCAATTAAATGAGAGCGTAGACAGTAGTGAATATTTAAAAATGGAAGTGTCTAAGTACTGAGGTGATAAAGCTTTATTTTGATGGAGTTTCGCTTTCTGAGCTTAGTGGTTTAATCTTAAAACTTTCATCGTCCTTCGAAACAATATCACCAACACAAACTTTAAATCAAAGTTACTTATCCGAATTTCGCCACAAATGACTTGGATCCTATTCTTTCCGCCTTCATTTTATTAAGGCAATAAAAGTCTCACAAATACACCATCTCGCTCAGAAAAAGAAACCACTAAAAATGGGTTTATGCAGAGGAATTTTCAGTACTTAGACAACTTCATATCTGAAAACTCACAAAAGTCATCCACTTGAGCTGTATATCATTGTCATTTAACTTGTGTAGATAAACTACTTCAAAATACTGACTGTACTATAAGTATTCTTAAAATCGTTAGTTATAAAGTCAGAAGATTAGTTGAGAAGTTTGCCCTGTGCTGTAGAAAACATTTCTGAAAAAATGTTGACGTAAATTTTTATTGGGAAGAAAAAAGAACTACATGGAGAAAGGTCCTTTTCCTGACATCGTTTCATCAGTCAACAAATTTTATTACTTACTGACAAGCGACAGATGTTACTTGAAAAACTAAGTTAGTCATAAGTGGTTTAACTATTATCCTTATCAAAAATTTGAATTTATTTTATTTCAGTACAAAATATTTAACGAAGTTAACCAATCAAATGTACATTATGTATTCTAGTATTGTTGTCTTTTAAAACTTTGCAGTGAGCCTGATAATTTTATTTTTTAAAACAAATATAGTAAACATTAATCCAGTAAGTTGAGCCATTGAAAACCTTTCTGTTTGATTGGTGGATGGTTTTTGTGCTTCAAGCCATCTGTCTAAAATCTGTACCCACTGAGAGGCTAGTTTTCTGTCGAAAATTTGATCATCATCATCAAAAGATTTTAAAAGATTCACGGAGAGCCATATTATATGGGCACACTTGCTTACTTGGAGAAACAACATTTTTCCATGATTCGAAGCTAATGTCTGAAAATTTTCACACAGTTTTTTTAATACATCATCTACGAACTCAGTGGTAAATTGGGCAATACTAGTACGATATAGTGTGTTTAGATGTGCTTTGAACGAACTGGAAAGGATCAAATTTAACTCAAGTATTGTTGAATCCCAAAGACTATTTGTTTCTGCAGAGAAATCCTTGGAAACAACAAATTTTCTTAAAAGATCAAGACATTGAATTAGACTCTCCGGGTTTTCGTTTAGCAGCTCCATTGTTTTGTTAATCCATAAACGAAATGTAAACTCTGCATCTTGTTTCATACTAAGGAAGGTATTCAGTTTCCTTGAAGAAATCAATCCTTTCTCACAATTTGCTTTAAAAGCATGAAAAAGGATATTGTAGGATGAGGATAAAATTTCTTGTAAATAATATTTCAACTGATTAGCTGTTTGATTTGTAAAAAACATCATTATATTCTGCAGATTGAATTTGGTCATCTTTAGCTGACTTAAACTAAAAGCTGTATAGGTGCTGAGGTCTGTAAAACAAATAAAGTAAAAGTGTACTGTTAGAAAACTAAAATATCACCTGTTGTTTTAGTCCTCATTTTGAAGCTGATTTCGCAATTTGAATTGTGGTCACTTGGCTGCCTTTCTTTTAAGAAATAATAATTAATAAGTGCTTCTTTTTCGTCCTCCCTTCTCATATACTGATTCTGAAGAAATCTGACAAAATCGTAGCTTGAAATACTTGGTGGCGTCTGTTTGACAAGATAAACTGCTACTGACACTTTCGCAACCACTAATGAAATATTTGCCAAGAATCTGCTATAAGTTTCGTTTTTTTGCGGGATCATCATCTGCAACGCTAAATGTTGCGTGAAATAATATAAGTTAATTAACGATCATCACTGTTAATTCAAAACATATCTCATTACGTAGGTTATTTTCATTAAAAAACATCATTTATAGTTGCTGATTTCAATGGTATTTTTATGTGTTTGTACATTTCAGTGTATTTTGCAGTTTTTATTTTAAGACTTGGACCTGAATTGACGGACATTACGACAAATGTTATGCTTCGTTTGAGATGTATCCGAAGAGGGATTTCATTTTAGGCGTTCTTAGCAACATCTATGCGATAATATAACTTGTACTTCCAGACACTGCATCAGTATCACCCGAATATAACCATACTCGAAGAATACCTAAGGTAAACTTTTCCATAATAAGGTGTGTACAGTGTTCTTTAAAATAATTAGTCTAATATCAGTTGCGTTATAGATATGACTACTACAACCAGATACATCTACAGATAAGTAATGCATGGTATGATCTGACTTGAATACAAATTGTTTTCACTACAAGCACACAAAAGTAAAGTGTTCTCTGAAGATGAAAGTTAATACTGTCATAGAACTGAGAAAATATAAGTCAAATAGCGGTAAACGTAATAAAATATACAAAACCTAATCATCAAAAGTGACTTCGGGTTCCTTGCAAACTCTGGTAGTTAGTGGAAAATATATCTGCAACACCGAAGAAACTGGCGCTCTAAAAAGATTTGAGCCCCAACCACTCAAGACAATCTTGGTTTTTGTGTGATTATACACTTCATTAGGTATTTTAATTAAGGGACCATGTGAAATATCGAAATTTGTTGCTGTAGTAAAAATTTGATAGATACGACTCGTCTAACAGTGATATCTAGACTTTATGATTTTGATTTCCCCCCTGTAGCCGACAAGTACACGAAAGAATAAATGCTGTACAGCGGCGGTACCTAAATTTCTGATCATGAAACTGATGTTTGGTTCGGCATATTAAAACTTGTTATTACTTATTGAGAGCCAAAAATATTAAAACTGGACTCTTTCAGAAACTTTACTACCAATGAAATTTGAAATAAAATTAGTCTGAACCAATGCAAAAGATGTAAAGAGTTCAAATTGCTTTAATCCATATTCGTCACCATTCCTATTTCATCGGATAAACACGAGACCTTGTGACATATCTTCACTTTCTCGACGACCAAAAATGACCGTCAGGCGGTTTCAGTACAACCAAACATTTAAAAGATAGATATCGTAGATTAAATTATCAAGGAATTAATCCTGGTAATATCTGAAAGATTTAAAAACATATATAGCGGAATATTTCATGCACTGGGTTCCCCTTATGAGTTTAATAAAAGCCAGAACAACAATTGAGGCAAGATTGTACGAACTCACTATATTTTGTAGTTCGTCATCAGCTTCTTGCAATCGTATGCGTATTAAAGTATTAATCTAGTTTAGTTCACCAACAAGCTCACTTGCTTCACACCGTATCATACCTCAGTGTTACATCGTAAAACGTATATGGCTGTAAGCAGCTGACAAAAAACCACTAAATACAATGAATTCACGTTATTCTACTTCAGTTGTTATTCCAGATTTACTGAACTTGTGATGGAATAATTCGCTGTTGTTTCTACACACCAACACTTCGAGACCAGTCAGTTACTCTCAGAAATTATAGCTTTTTAATCGTACTAAAACAAAGACAACAAACGTGGTTCAGATAACAAAGAGACGAACATAAATGAAGTAAAGCGGCTTCAAAGCTAGTTTTAACTTTCAGTATGAAAGTTTGGTAAAGATTATGAAAGGCTAGTAAAAAACAATTTTGATGATTAAGGTCCTTACTTACATTGGAAATCTTTGGATAAAATACAACCTTGATACCTGTATTTAAACACTGACGCAACAAAACTCATGTGGAAAATCAGTTATTTACAAGTTACTTAATAATGGTAATATATTAGCGAATATATCTTCATTATTACATCAGAATTTGCATCATATAATCCCAACTGGGTACGCTGACTTATGGAAACATTTTGATGAAATTAATGTGTAGTGCCCGCTATTTTTTGAATGAATTTTACATATAATAATTGTCCCGTTTTGCTTGACTGATGAAGTGAAATCCTTAAACCTGATACTGAATGCACTCAGAGAACCCATTTAAACCGAAAGATGCTAATTTGAATTAGCTAATCTCCAGAACAAGATATTGATATGTCTACAAAGTCCACCAAACTTTTGTTCTGAGTTACAAGAAAATCAAAACGTAGACAATTTTGCGCTTTGATTTTCACGGCGACTCACACAATTCATGATATACACAATTGGTACTTTACATGCAGTCGTACCTAGTTCCACAATTTTGTGGAAGTCCCCAAATTCAAATGGCCCTCCATGAAGTTTGGAGAGATTTTGGGGAATTCCACAAGGTTTAGGGGAAATATTGAAGAACTTCCCCAGACCTGAGGATGGATCACATTTTCCTCATAATTGGGAGATTGGGAACATACCGATATCTAGATAACGGTGTATACAACTACATGACTCAATCGTACATTTAAACATTTATATGTACGTTATGATTTTCATGAAGAAGGCCTTCTCAATTTCACATTTTCAGTATACGCAACACTTCAGGAATAACCACCTCTAACGATAACAGGTTATGCTTTTTGAAAAAATGGTGTTGCAAAACTGATTAAAGTTTCAGTTCTAAAAGGTGATGAAGTTTGATGGCTTGTGTTAGTTCCGTCGATTGTAGTCTTTCATTCGATCCATTTTTCTTTTAAAAGCGTCAACGGATGAAGCCTCAACCACGTGCTGAGGTAATGAATTCCACTCGTTGATGATTCGATGGGAAAGTCAATAGGCAACTGACAAGTAATTTGTTCTGGGCTTTTGAACTTTATTGGAGTGTCCCCGTAAATTTTCTGTTTGGAAGAAAAGAAAACTGAAGGAATATCAGGTGAGAATTTATCACTAAGCAATTTGGAAACTGTAATTAAGTCCAAAGTGGCCTCGACACCACACTCTTCGAAGACTTATCACTCAAAAATTGCAATACTAGGGTCCTTCTAGCCAGCGTCTAACCCCAGTTTTAGTTATTTTTCAGGTTTTCGTTTTCTTGTGAGATCTGCGTGTGGCAAGCGATAATAATTTATTCTAAAATAATTGTCTGTTAAACAACACATGCCACTTTACAGGCAAGATCGAATTGTTACAGAAGACACATTCTTCATTGTAATGGTTTACTCAGTTAGTTTGATTTTTTTATAAATTACATTGTCCATAAAAGTGCATCATGTGTCTTGATGAAATTGTCTACTGAAAGATTCGGAGTAACGTTAGCTGTTCAAGTAATCAGGAAAAAACTGACCGTATATGGATATTCTCATTATGATGTGCCACTTGATATTTACGAATTCTGTTAGTGGTTATCTACAATTCCCTCTTACACCTACACTGATTATGGAAAGTTGTGGCTCTTCTCAGGCACCTTCTAAAACTAAGGGAGTAAACAGACCAGTTATTAGTAATGAAATCCATTATTGATTAAAACAAGAAATAGCTACCATCTGTACGTACGGAAATAGGATGAACGTCAAACATTTCTTCAAAAGCTCTTCAGGATTAACCGTGAATGTGATTTCTAGAAAGAAGAATCATATTTTTAGTTAGACTGACATCTAAACGGTTGGCATGGGCGTTTCAAGAATTTTTTCTTGTTCCTTTTTTCCATTAGGATCAGTGAAATGTGATTTTACACAGAAACGTATTAATTTCAGTTATCCTTTAGTAAATAAAAGGATTTTGAGTGGTTTCCGTTATTCTCAATGATAATGCTGCCATGCTAAATCCAACACTGTTGTTAATTTTTCGACTTGATTATACTCGTGGTAATACCTAATCCATTGTGTACTACTAATCCTGATAACCGCTATTTTTGGACCAAAACTGGACACCAAAGGTTAGTTACGAGAGAGATTCTGCTTTACTCTGGTCACAAAGAGGAAGATGCTCCATACACTCACGAAACTGAACTGATACTGTCCAAAGAAGCAAGAAATGCACTTAATGGATGAAAATCTCATGGACCCTTGATCATCAAATCATCCTTCAAAACAAAGAAGGAGGGAATGACAATGAATATTATCCTGTTATGCAGTCACCAACGATAGCAATTGGGACGATACAAATTGGTTTTATGAAAGGTTACAATCGATCGTAGCGAAGCGCCCAGGAAAGAAACTGACAATCTTGATGGGAGATCTAAACGCCAAAGTCGGAATGGACAACAACGGTTACGGAGATATCATGGGACGACATGGACTGACTGTGTTAGCGAGACATATATTGGATTAAAGCATCTTTCGTGCACGATTGTGTTGCTGCATGTTGACTGGCTATTTCTTATCCAATCAGCGCTAGTTGATACTTAGAGAAGACTCTAGAATCTTCCCATGTAAAAACTATAGATACACTAACGTTTTTCCTTATTGTGCTTCTTACTTACATCTACCTTTGTGATTTGGAATATAATTTCTTTCCTGTTCAACCATGTTCTTATATGAGGACTGGTAAAAAAACGAACGAGAATAGTGACAGATTTACAAAATTAAGTTCATTCAAATGCATAGTTATATGCGCACAATGTTCCCACACAAACGCATACACAAAGCTGCATTTGTCTCACCGGACCACACTACGGACAACTAGACCGTTCATATTTGTCACTGAAAAATTCAAAAGGTGAGTGTAGGGTGTGAGAAGCAGGAGACGAGCTGACATAGCCTCTGATCGCTACCTGGTTGTGACAGAGATGAAACTGCAGCTAAAGGACTGGACAACTGGGGAAACAAAATTACAAAGGTTCAATACAACCTTATTCCGAGATACTGACAGACTTAACGAATTCAAGATAGTTCTCAACAACAGGTTCCATGTCTTACAAAATCTACTCAAAGAAGAAGAAACTACTATAGAGGACGGCTGAAAAGGGATCAAAGAACCATCAACTTCAACGTGTCAGGAGGTGCTGGGTCGCAAGGATCATCATCATAAGGAATGGATCTCTATGGAAACCCTGGACGGGATTCAAGGAAGAAAGAACAAAAATACAGCAATTAACATTAGTCGAACAAAAACAGAAAGTCAAGGCACAGGCTGAATACACAGAAGCAAACAAGCAAGTGAAGAAGAGCATTAGAGCCGACAAGCAGAAATTCGTGGAAGACCTGACAACGACAGCGGAAATATCTATAACAGAAGGAAATATGAGACAACTACATGACTCGTTGAGGAAACTGCTGGAGAAATATAGTAAACCAGGGAGACTGGTCAACAACAAGGGAGGCAAGCCAGTCACTGAATTCAAGGACAGAGTAATAGATGGGTAGAATACTTCGAAGAATTCTTGAATAGACCAGCTCTATTGAATCCACCGGGTGTTGAATCAATACATACAGACCCTCCTATAGATGTCACTCCACCAGCGATCGAAGAGATTATTATTATTATAAGCTTTATTCAATATTAGATTTTCGGTACAATATAGAATTCTCAGCTCAAAGTATTTCAACAAGTTTCTGTTTCTTTCTTCTGGGTCGATGCTGACGATAAATATTGAGTGATAGCCAGTTAGATGTTAGCAGTCCAGTAAATAAACATCTGAATAATGTATATTCTTTTCTCTGCATATTGCCAGCGACCACATTATCTCTTAATGAGCTTTTAGTAACTTTGACAACGAAAGGTTGTAAACTTTTCAGAAATGCACAAGGATGGGTTATGCGATTAATATACATAATGATATATTAAAACAAACAAAGGTAGATAACTTGTTGAAATATTTAGATGACAGGAACAGGTAGCCCAGATGCTCAAGCAGGCCGCCCAATCAGGATGGCCATCAGACAAATCAAGAGTGGAAAAGCAGTAGGACCTGAAAATATACCAGCCGAAGCACTGAAATCAGACATAGAAGCAACTGCAAGCATGCTCCACACTCTATTCAGAATTTGGGAGGAGCAACAAGTGACTCTGATAGACTGGAGAGGAGACCTCGTCAAGATACCAAAGAGAGGAGAACTGAGCAAATGTGAGGACTACAAAGGCATCATATTACTGTCGCTATCGGGAAAAGTTTTCAACAGAATGTTGCTGAACCGAATGAGAGACTCAGTAGACGCCCAACTTCAAGATCAACAGGCTGAATTCCGTAAGGATCGGTCGTGTATAGAACGAAGCGCGACACTGGATCATCGTTGAACAATCAATTGAATGGGACTCGTCACTATAAATCATCTTCCTTGACTATGATAAAGCATTTGACGGTGTGGATAGGAGAACATTATGGGAACTTAAACACTATGGAGTATCTGATAAAATCGTCAACATCATCCGGAATTCATACGATGAACTACAGCGCAAAGTCATGCATTGAAAACAGCTGCTAACAGACTCATTGCGATTGAGGATCGGAGTCAGATAAGGTTGCCTTCTCTCCCCTGTCTCTTCTTTTTGGTGGTCGATTGGATTATGAAGACCTCAGACAAGGTTATCTACTGTCCCTCTTTCTTCTCCTACTGGTGGTTGACTGGACTCTTAAGTCCTGCATATCTCAGGGGAAGCACGGAATAAAATAGACAGGTTGGAAGCAACCAGACGATTTGGGCTTCGCAGATTACCTGGCCCTTCTATCCCATACACAGCAACAAATGCAGGTAAAGATGGCCAGTGTAGCAGTAGCCTCTGCATCAGTAAGCCTCAACATACACAAGGGAGGAAACAATAATTTCCAATACAACACAGAGAACAGCAACATACAAATTGATAGTAATATGACAGATGTACTGGTAGTGATAAGAATAATAAAAAGTCTGAATAGATAA